TGGGTACTAGTCTCGCCAGGTCTGTTTTGTTGTGGGTACTAGTATCGCCGGGTCTGTTTTGTTGTGGGCACTAGTCTCGCCAGGTCTGTTTTGTTGTGGGTACTAGTATCGCCAGGTCTCTTTTGTTGTGGGTACTAGTCTTGCCAGGTCTGTTTTGTTGGGGGCACTAGTATCGCCGGGGTTGCGGCACTAGTCTCGCCGGGTCTGTTTTGTTGGGGGCACTAGTCTCGCCAGGTCTGTTTTGTTGGGGGCACTAGTATCGCCAGGTCTCTTTTGTTGTGGGTACTAGTCTTGCCAGGTCTGTTTTGTTGGGGGCACTAGTATCGCCGGGTCTGTTTTATTGGCGGCACTAGTCTCGCCGGGTCTGTTTTGTTGGGGGGCACTAATCTCGCCAGGTCTGTTTTGTTGTGGGTACTAGTCTCGCCAGGTCTGTTTTGTTGTGGGTACTAGTCTCGCCAGGTCTGTTTTATTGGCGGCACTAGTCTCGCCGGGTCTCTTTTGTTGTGGGTACTAGTCTCGCCAGGTCTGTTTTATTGGCGGCACTTGTCTCGCCGGGTCTCTTTTGTTGTGGGTACTAGTCTCGCCAGGTCTGTTTTATTGGCGGCACTAGTCTCGCCGGGTCTCTTTTGTTGTGGGTACTAGTCTCGCCAGGTCTGTTTTGTTGTGGGTACTAGTCTCGCCAGGTCTGTTTTGTTGTGGGTACTAGTCTCGCCGGGTCTCTTTTGTTGTGGGTACTAGTCTCGCCAGGTCTCTTTTGTTGTGGGTACTAGTCTCGCCAGGTCTCTTTTGTTGTGGGTACTAGTCTCGCCAGGTTTATTGCATTAGGAAGGCCCATGATGCCGCCAGCATCCTCCCAGCTACCAGTGGCAGACCCAGATGAGAGAGATGGTGAGAAAATATGTCCAGATGAAGATAAACTGAAAATACTGAGTAATGAAAGAATTCAAGAGTCAATATGACATTAGTAGCTATTGAAGTATGCAGGACGAAATTATTTACCAAAAAGGTTAGTGAAGACGTAGAGATGAGTGATTATGGCATCAGTTGAGTGTGATTTCAGGAGTGGGTTACAGACCTATGATACATAGGGCAACTTTGAATTTTGCCGTCATCCGGATACGAGATGATATAAGCAAATATACTATGTAGCCTTCCGCGTCGCTTAATGTGGATACTAAACTGATGATTTCTGGACGACGTGCATGGATACATACACAACGGTAGTAATTATGAGCTACAGGATAACTTAATTGTGGCTTTCTAACCGATATCAGCTGATAAATACCAGATGATGAGTAGAATCTCACGAGGAACAGTGGAAGATTAACTCTGGTGAGGATTCCCCCTGCTTAGTGGGGGGGGGGAGGGGGAGGTTGGAGGGGAAAGGGAGGAAGGTAGAGGTAGAGAGAAAGGAGGAGAGGTGAGAAGAAAAGAGAAGTGAGCGCCCTCTCGTGGGCGAGTAGGTCACGATGGCACCAGTGCCACAACTCCAAACTAGTACCCATACCGAAAACTGCAAGATATATTGAATACCTGTCAAAGGGCTCTTATGAAGAGTGCAAATACACCCTGTATCAACCTATACCATGGGGGGCTATATGAAAGATGACATCATACGTTGAAACTGAGAAGTCAGAGGTTTTGAGGCACCACTAAAAGTCCTGGAGGAGATGGCAAAGGGAAGGTATAGTCGGCGAGGAGTCACAATAACGTGGCTAAAGTATGATGACCAGACCACACACTAGAATGTGAAGGGACGACGACGTTTCGGTCCGTCCTGGACCATTCTCAAGTCGATTGGGAATGGTCAAGTCACAATCGACTTGAGAATGGTCCAGGACGGACCGAAACGTCGTCGTCCCTTCACATTCTAGTGTGTGGTCTGGTCATCAAGGTATAGTCCCTCGTCTCAGTCAAGTTTCCCTTCCCTTGCTCCGTCAAGACCGTATTATCCCCCTCCCACCTTGACCCCCACGTCAAGGCGAGACTAGTCCCCATGCCCCACTGGTCTGTTGGGCGACTCATACTTACAATAAACTGGACACAGAGGAGTGGAGGAATGAGGGAGACGCACCATAACACGTGATAATCGAGAAAACACACGGACGATGAGGGCATGTGGTAGGTGGACACGTACATGGCAGAGAAGAGGATAATAATTGGTAAAAAAATGATTAATTACATCTTCTGCTTTAGGGGGAAGGGAGAGGGGAGGGGGGGAGAGTTTTCAGTAAACTCACAGAAGGTATACACGAATTATCAAAGGGACAAGCATGTCTATATTATCACTGTGCATTCTAGGATTACATATGTAGATATGTAATTACATACATATGTAATTAGTGCTATTAATATTAGTAATATTACTTAATCATTTATAGTATTAGGATAATTGATTTACTGCTACTTATATGAGTTAAGAGAGAGTTGAATAAATATTTAAGAGGGGGAACAGGAAATTGATATTTCCTGTTTAATTATTTACTGATATTTTCTTTAAAAAAAGAGTTTAATCCTTATTGCATTATTGGGCACACGATAATATAAATATTATCTGTCTCGTGATACGAAGTGATCTGTGTTGTCAGAACTAAGACTGTCAGCCGGGCTTACAAAATCAGAATAAAAGTACGTCAGAATTGGAACAATATTAGACTAAAGATGTATCAGATTTACAGAGGTCAGAGCAGTGGAATAAGACTGTCAGGAGAATAAGAACGCATGTATTAGTTCAGAGGGGCAGAGGATCACACCAGAGGAACCACTTCGTCAGACTGCAGGAGGATTAGACTGGTATAGTGTCCAGTCCAGGACACTGGTATAGTGTCCAGGCCAGGAGACTGGTATAGTGTCCAGTCCAGGACACTGGTATAGTGTCCAGTCCAGGAGACTGGTATAGAGTCCAGTCTAGGATACTGGTATAGTGTCCAGTCCAGGAGACTGGTATAGAGTCCAGTCTAGGACACTGGTATAGTGTCCAGGCCAGGAGACTGGTATAGTGTCCAGTCCAGGAGACTGGTATAGTGTCCAGTCCAGGAGACTGGTATAGTGTCCAGTGGGAGACAGGAGAGAGTGACGTGAATGGACTCCCAGTAAGGGAAGGAGGTCAGGCGTCAGGTTTGGTCACGTATTAAGGTTAGAGGGTCAGAGACGGAAGATTATGGGAAGAAAAAGTTCACACGTCGTACACCAGCGTACGTATGAAAGGTCATACATCATACACCAGCGTACGTATGAAAGGTCATACATCATACACCAGTGTACGTATGAAAGGTCATACGCCATACACCAGCGTACATATGAAAGGTCATACATCATACACCAGCGTATGTATGAAAGGTCATACATCATACACCAGCGTACGTATGAAAGGTCATACGCCGTACACCAGCGTACGTATGAAAGGTCATACGCCGTACACCAGCGTACGTATGAAAGGTCATACGCCGTACACCAGCGTACGTATGAAAGGTCATACGCCGTACACCAGCGTACGTATGAAAGGTCATACGCCATACACCAGCGTACGTATGAAAGGTCATACATCATACACCAGCGTACGTATGAAAGGTCATACATCATACACCAGCGTACATATGAAAGGTCATACGCCGTACACCAGCGTACGTATAAAAGGTCATACATCATACACCAGCGTACGTATGAAAGGTCATACGCCATACACCAGCATACGTATGAAAGGTCATACGCCGTACACCAGCGTACGTATGAAAGGTCATACGTCATACACTAGCGTACGTATGAAAGGTCATACGCCATACACCAGCGTACGTATGAAAGGTCATACGCCGTACACCAGCGTACGTATGAAAGATCATACGCCATACACCAGCGTACGTATGAAAGATCATACGCCATACACCAACGTACGTATGTAAAGGCCATATACGCCGTACGCCAGACCGGCTGCCAATCTTAAAACACCCACAGACCACTCCGAGGGGGGGTATAATCAAAAGCAGAAGCAACAACTAACAGCTTGAGGGGTAGTTGGAGTAGGGGGGGGGGGAGGGAATAACCAAATCATAACCACACACAAAAAGAAGCATTAATGACCAATTAATTTATCCGACTAGCCGCAAGGCTAGCGTAATTCCCTTATAACTACCCAGCGTAGTAAACAAAACAGCATCAGCTTTCTGCCCCCAAAAAACAACATATTAACAAAAATCTACAATAGCTTTTAATTTTTAACTAATAAGCTTACAACCCTTAAGATTTACAGCAAAACATATACTTAAATAAATGATATAATAGTCAGCCTCCACTATGATAAAACAGTGCAGAAGAACTCCTTGAAATGAAAGTGCTAAGACCAATAGAAAATTTGAGCAATACTTCTTGAATGACACATCTAAGATATGAATACTTTCTTGAACATTTATAATGTTAAAACACCTGCAAATTAAACCACAAATCTTTAGCGTTTTGACTGCATGCTTAATTGCTACATAAACACCTGTTCTCACTATATATATATATATATATATATATATATATATATATATATATATATATATATATATATATATATATACATATATATATATATATATATATATATATATATATATATATATATATATGCATATATATATATATATATATATATATATATATATATATATGCATATAATATATATATATATATATATATATATATATATATATATATATATATATATATATATATATATATATATATATATATATATATATATATATATATATATATATATATATATATATATGACTTTATAAAATCATTTTAGATAGTAAGACCTGACTCTAACATGCTGAAGGAAAGTCTTGAAAATCTGTTCTGCTATATTAGCTGCTTATGTGAAAGACAAATAGAGATAACACTCTGATTATGGACCCACGAGTAAAACTGCATTAAGGGATAAAAATACGGTATAAGACAAAACAAAACAAGATCAAAACACACACACACAAACAGAAGAGCAAGCGAATAATACCTTAAGCACCTGCAGCATGAAACACACAAGAAAAAACACACACGTTAATTAACATACATAAATGTAAATATGATGAACACATGTGTAATAGACAGAAGGAAGTATAATTAACACACGTATTTGTAAATATCATTGACAACTAGTTTACAGACTCCTAATTGCACAACTTCACGCCTCTCCTAGTATCTACGGGCTCACCATAGCCCGTGCTACTTGGAATTGTTTGTTTCAAGTAGCGAATCTTTAACCACAATAACAGCCTCTCCTAAATCGATAAGTAACATACATATAAGTAATTAAATGCTTTTTCCTGGTGTAAAATACACTCTCCAATCGACAGCTTACCCACGTGACATTAATGTTTATCCCTGCCACCGGTTAAGAGAATTGGTATAAAATTATTGGTAATTATTAATTATATCTTCTGCTTTTGGGGGAGGGAGAGGGAGGGGGGTGCTTCAGTAAACTCACAGAGGGTAGTATTATGAGGGGGGTTATGAAGTATACCTCGCTCACTACACCAGGATATACATGGGTAAACCAACAGTGCTGCAAACCATAGTTATAGTACTTTAAACTTCACCGTATAATACAAGTCCAGTTACTTTAGTACTTAAATCCTAACTGTAATTAAAACATATAAAAGTAAATAATATTATCCCAAATGCCTGAACAAAAGAAATTTGTGAATTTCTTATTAAAAGTGGGAAATATGGCACGAATATATAACCAGGACAGAATAAGTCAAACATGGGTGGCAAACACCCTAGACTTATGCTCATGGATTTATTTTTATTTTCCTAAATATTTTTATCCCTCGAGCCGTACACTATGTAAGCAGGAACTAGCTCATGACCTCACACACTACAATATTAAATATCCAGTCATTAGACACTTCAGGCTTGCCGACAAGGAGTTACTTAGCGCTTTGCAATTACTTTATTAACTCAACAGGTATTGATAATATCCTCATATTGCTCCCAAAGTTTCCCCGGAGTAAGCTATTGATCACATGGCCCCTGTGTGACTAGCCATTCCTGCAAGATGGGGACATTTTGCATCACCCTGTAGCTTGTCCTTAACACACTATGTAACCCTTCTCAGGGTCTAGGTACAGCTACATAGATACAGCTGTACCTAAATATAACCAATTATTTAAATTTCTTGATTTAGCTTTTAATTGGTTTTATAACGAGAATAATAATGATAATAATTATTATTTTAACCTAGTTTTATTATCAATGCGTCGACCTCCATATTTTGCCATATATATATATATATATATATATATATATATATATATATATATATATATATATATATATATATATATATATATATATATATATATATATATATATATCGCTGCAATCCTTGTGCCCTACAAGCTGGGAATATCTGCATTCTCTGTTGCAGGTAATCGCAGTTTGGAAAGTTATGTCAAGATACGCATAAAGGTGTGAATTAATTAGCACTATAAGACAAAGGGGTCCAGTCATAATTACCTCCACACCTAACTAGAGACCCTTAGACACGTAAACATGACAATCGTCAAGTGTGCGACAGGTGTGTACCGAGTTGCACATATATACACACACCTGACAATCCCCAGGTGTCCCGCTGTCAAACAGGGGGACAAATCAATCAAATTAACTTAATGCGATCAACTTGTAAATTATCACAGCTTTCTTAAATAAAATTGATTCAACTGTGCATGTTAATTCGGTTATATTAACTATAAATATATTAAATATAATATGAATTAATACAATTACAAATATGAAGACACCTTTGTGAGAGTTAACTGGCAAACCCCCAAAGGTGAGTATTAAGCTTTAATATGGTTATTAAACTAAATGATCAAAAGCTGAAAATAGACTATTGATGAATATATTAAGAAACGTTCTAACTTGTTCAAAGTGATTTTAAATATATTTTGTAATGATATATATATATAACACACTCAGGAACTGACCCCCCAATGTGTGTGTGTGTGTTTAATATTTTCACTATCACAGGATGGGTATGGGGTTCACTACACCCTCCCAGAATGGGTATGGGATCCATTGCCACTCACAGGATGGGTATGGGATCCACTACCCCCTCATAGGATGGGTGTGGGATCTCTTACCCCTCACAGGATGGGTATGAGATTCACTACCCCTCACAGGATGGGTATGGGATCCATTGCCACTCACAGGATGGGTATAAGATCCACTCCCACTCACAGGATGGGTATGGGATCCACTACCCCCTCATAGGATGGGTGTGGGATCCCTTACCCCTCACAGGATGGGTATGAGATTCACTACCCCTCACAGGATGGGTATGGGATCCATTGCCACTCACAGGATGGGTATAAGATCCACTCCCACTCACAGGATGGGTATGGGATCCACTACTCCCTCACATGATGGGGTATGGGATCCCCTACCCCTCACATAATTGGGTATGGGATCCACGGCTACTCATGAGTGTATCCATAGTGAATAATAAATTTCCCAAAAACATTAGTTTTAATTAGAACATTTCAATTATAGTTTATTTCAGCCACAGTTTGAACCAATAAATTATTTCAGTACAGTTATTAGGACTAATAAATACATTATACTATTTATTTAAAAAAATCCCCTTTACGATTGAATAAATCTAGTAAGGAATTTCAACATAAATCAAAGAAAAGGAATCCACCTTATCATGAAAGTTAGCCCGCCACCCCGCTAAATCTATAATTATAAGTTAACAGCCTCTAACTCAATCCCTGCACTGTAGTTTATCCATGGGGCACTGTGATATATCCATGGGCACTGTGGTATATCCATGGTGCACTGTGGTATATCCATGGGGCACTGTGGTATATCCATGGTGCACTGTGGTATATCCATGGGGCACTGTGGTATATCCATGGTGCACTGTGGTATATCCATGGGGCACTGTGGTATATCCATGGGGCACTGTGGTATATCCATGGGCACTGTGAAGCGTGGACAAGTGGATAGAGCTGTGGGTAGGTAAGATAGAGTTCAATGGCAGCACTAGTGGTGGCCACTATGATAGGTAACCCTGCAGACTAAGGAGTGGGAGGAGAGGTAGTAAGCCATTACGGAACGGGGAGTGGGGAGTGGGGGAGAGATAATGGACACTCACCAGCTCGGAGACGAGAGGTATAGACTTCCTCCTGGGTCGAATGTCTGGCATACTGTCGATATTGCTGTAGAACGGGTTGTCTCCCGGCCTGAAGGAGAAATCAAGAGAAACAAACAAACATTAGATCTCAAAATACTCGCGGGTTCACCCAGGCTCGCAAAGCCATAACAATTTTTTTTTTCCTTCTAAGACTCTAGAAAACCGAGATATATAATCTTATAACTGCTGACGAAACAAAACATGCCTAAAATAACTATTTTTTTTTAATATATATGTTGCTGAAATATACAGAATGTTGGTTTTTTTTTGTTCAAAATCAACCGATTAATCTTTTGACAAAAAAATTCAGCAGTTTTGAACTGACTATAAAACAATTGAAGCTGACGAAACCATTAGGTAACCGTGCATGTGATTGGTGAGCTGCCTCCACAGTTGCTCCTCTTGTCATAAAGAGTGTTGCGGGCATTATAGAGGACAAGGGTACAATACAGCACTAGTAAATCACAGGATACACAAGCGTTTTATCAATACATACTATTTAACTGTTAAAAAAAAAATAAACAAATATTATTGACACATAAAAAAAAACAATATTGTTTAACCATCTTACTATACACACACACCACACTACAGGAAACAAACAGCTTGATATTTAATGACATCTCCGGTTGTGTGAGTTTCCCACACACCAAGAGCCTTTTTGCTGCGCTTTCAACAATCACTCGAGCAATCGCTCGCTGTAAGCGGCCTGTATTGAGAGTATGGCGGATCCCAGGTCATTGCTCAAAGTAGCAGGAAGCTTGGTGTGTAGTGAACTCACACGATAGGGAGATCCCCCACAACACACACAACCTAACTACAACGTCGTTGGGTTGTTAAAAACCCCCGCTGTAGTTACGTTGTTTGTTTACTGGGACGTCTGGGTGTGTGTGTGTGTGTGTGGCCGTAGCGACACTGGGGGGAAGGGGGGGTGAAGAACTCTCTGCTATGTCTACTGGGATTCGAGCATCAGTTCGTGCCAAAGTAACTGTCTCATATGTCTTTGTTTTGGCAGACATGATGATGGACGAGCCGCAAGCTTCTCTCTCTCTCTCTCTCTCTCTCTCTCTCTCTCGCTATATCTGGGTGGCGTTCAGCCTCTCCCGTTCACCTATGTTGACTCAATGTGGAGGAACTGTGAGGCGAGGCTTCCTCATTGGCGTCCTTTGCTGCCGATGTTGCTGACCTCCTCGATGAGTGACCTTGCCCTCCTGGCTACCGTAGTGACCTCACACACCACAAAGGTCACACCTCCAAGATAAACTCCAGATTAAGCACCCTCTGGTGTATGTCCAGCTGGACGAATCAGCACTAGATAAGCATCCAGGAGACCTAAACAACAGTGTACCTAACGACCATCACGCTAAAGTTAGGTCTCATGGAGCGACTACTTGGACCGAAGGATGAGGAGGTAGCACCTCATCGTAAGAAGCGATTTCCATGAGGTGATCCCTCACAAACCAACCTGTCCTCTTAAAAATAGCGTCACTTTTGGCTCGTATGCGCACTATGGCCAAATTTGGACGTAATTTGAAATGAAATCGACTCACAAAAGTGACGTACTGTCCCGTTTTCTGAGTCGTCTGGCTTACTCGGTAAGGTTAGAAGAGGAAACTTTCAATTAACGTTTTTTATAACGTTTTGAAACTTTATGAGAATTTCCTGCCCACCTAACCTATCAGAGGACCCTTAACTTACTGTTGCTGAAAAAAAAATCCCAAATTTATTTTCATTTTTTTTTTCATTTTTAAATTACGTCCACTTTCGGCCATACGGGCAAACGGCCAAAAGCGACGTTATTTTTAAGAGGACAGGTTGTCGGTGTTGGAAAGAACATGGGGGCAACGCTTGACCCCACACTCTCACAGATTCTAAACTTTGCTTCTCTTACACGAGCCTTATAGTATTATAAACGTCACCGTATTTCCGCAATTATCTCAAATGACCTTCAAATAGGTGCCCTGGCCCAAAACACTCTCCCTCAACACGGCTGACCTGTCCTCCACAATTAGCCCTTAATTGGGTGACCTGACCAACAGCCCTTGTCATCAACTAGCTGACCTGCCTTCCAACACTCGAACGAACCAACTTGACCTTCAAAGTTCTCCCTAAGCTAATCTGACATCATGCACTCTGAGGTAATATGGCACTATGCACTCTAAGCAAACTAATATGTCATCCTTCACTCTGTCTAAACTCACCTCCAGTAATCACTCTTAAGTAAATGATCTACACACTTCCACTTACTCCTGAACCACTCGTTAAATATATATATACACTTACCCAGCATCTAGAGTCCTAGTGTTGCACCCTATATGCAAACTCATGTCTTACAAAGTACACTGACGACCTTTAACTTAAGAGTTTAATCACTACACACACACACACATATAGACACACACCCACACACACACACAGCTAACTATCATCTCGCGATCAATCACCAGACGTAACCTAGAGTCCTAGATATATATATATATATATTATATATATATATATATATATATATATATATATATATATATATATATATATATATATACCCTACAAACAACTCCCATCAAGATAACCAGCAAGAATATCCTAAATGTTATATACGATTGCATAATTGTGAGACATAACCACAAACGATAACAAGTCAAACCGGTAAAATCATAACAGATGGTTGTATAGAAATGTATTTATTGAAAATCTTTGAGACTATTCTAGTTTACATTTATCCCTCGTTAATGATAGCAAACTCTTGAAGAGATTCATTTTCAATTCTGAATTCAAGTTAGGTCTGTACGATTTAATATTTGATCACTCGGGTTTCGAAGCTTATTGAATGGAAGTATTTACACAGTATCGAAAAAATGGTTTCAGTACGATATTGTCAAGGGATTATGACCATCAGATGAGTTTCTCATAATCGGTATTGTGAAGGACACACACACACACACACACACACACACACACACACACACACACACACACACACACACACACACACTTCCCAGCACAAAGAGTGCTGGGAAGACGGGACACCACGAGCGTAGCTCTCATCCTGTAACTACACTTAGGTAATTACACACACACACACACACACACACACACACACACACACACACACACACACACACACACACACACACACACACACACATTTAAACCTAGATAAATATGCATTCAAGGTACGGAACACAACCTACGTGAGACCGGTAATAGAGTATGCAACCTCGACGAGAAGCCGAAACTTAAAAACGCCCAAAACAAAACTTGTAAAATGTCAAACGATTCCTAAGAAGCTCGTCCCGGAGCCAGAGAACTGGGTCTCCAGGAGAAGTTGAGACACCTTTGCTTAATAACTTCACAAAAGGAAAAGGCATGGCAAATGCCGAAAAAATAAAGCAAAAATGGGAACTTTTCAGAACGTGCATTGATAGAACGAGAGGGCACGAATAGACGATAGAACAGAAGGACATGAATAGGCAATAGAACAAGAGGACATGAATAGACGATAGAACAAGTCGGGCATGAACAGATAAGAGAAGGAAAGGGTAGATATGGACGCTAACAAGCCATTTAGCCACAGAGATATCAAAATATCGTGGCTATATATGAACCAAGGAATAACACAATGACTTAAGAATCAAGATGAATCCAACTCCATCAACATGATCCATAAACCGAAATCACAGGAATATTATAGAGTGGGAATCACTGCATCAGACAAAACACAGCAAATGCAAACAATCACAGGAGCTGAAGCCCAACCTGCATCGAGGATTTGGTGTTTACACTCGCTCGTAGACGAGTAAAGGCTACCAAAAACAAATTACGAGTCAGAATCACATGAATAAATCCCTTGCTACGCCCAGAACGGATCAACAGATTCCAATTCGACTTCTCAGAACGTGAAACCCTATTTATCAAATGTTAACATTATGGGAAACAGGTAAACATGAATTGGACATGAAAGACTGCCAAATTGTTCCGTCTTAAGGGATATTTGGAAGAGTAACAGAAATGAGAAAGACTAATTTGCCTCCTAGACGTAATTATTAACTCGTACTTAACACTTACTTAAGACGTACTTAACACTTTCATGAGGAAAAGAATATTGCTTAATAATCTTCCTATTTTAAGACCAAATTGGCAACTATTCAGACTCTAATCTTGCAACCACAGAGCTTAACTACCTTGTTGTCTCCCTTGTTACAGCTTGTAATTGAGTAGTTATGACGTGCTCGAAGGTTACCACAACTGGTTACATTGCTTGTTGTAACTTTGTTATATTGATTGTCACAACTTGAAAGAAGGTGTTTCAACTTGATCGAACGTTGTTGAAACATCGTAGTTTAGATTTTATGTCTGGCGGGCAGAGAACTAACGGACAAGATATATAAGAGAAATTTATTTCTCTTTCTTAGAAGAGAAATAACAGACCATGAGAGAAATAAACAAGTTTTAAAACGGTATGAGAAATAAGGTCTGCAGACCATTTTTTTTTTTAACACGGGCGATGGAAACTATATATAGGACTTGAGGTTCTAGGTTATATTCTCATGAGGTTAGAGATCAAATGGAGGATTACAGACAATAGGACAACATAAAGATTTGTACCAATAAGAAATGTAACATTAATATTCCTCCCATTATTAATGGGGAAGTGTAGCACGCGCTGCATATATATATCTCTAAGGAAATCTACCTATCCATGACGCAATTTAAAGATGATTTAAAACCATACTTTGCCATATTGCAAAGATGCAAAGAAGATTGAAGACAACAACAAGGCACAAGGGTTGTGGAACCCGATCGACATGTTAGAAGATCCAATGCTAGAAAGATTATTACCGTGATGAGACGTCTCACTCCCTCCCACAGCTGGAGGCCCAAAGAGCTTTTGCAACAACTCCATGGAAACCAAGCCCCCAATTTCAAAAAGACCTTTGAACACATGTACACAAGTACCTTGTGGAGACGAGGAGTCACAGTAACGTGGCTGAAGTATGGTGACCAGACCACACGTTAGAAGGCGAAGGGACGACGACGCTTCGGTCCGTCCTGGACCATTCTCAAGTCGATTGTCAAAACGACGTCGTCCCTTCACCTTCTAGTATGTGGTGTGGTCAACAAGTACCTTATGGACTGGTTCATGTACACAAGCATCTGAGTGTTATATGTGACCGCTACACGGTATTCATGTATAGATGTCCAGATATTTTGTAATACATATGAGGTGCTGAATCATACTTTCCCCTGCAGGAGAAAGCCAGCTTAACTACCACTCACCACCTCAGCGTGGCAGCAACGATTCACAAGTCACACCATAGTTCCACTTTCTAAACTATTCCTTAATATGAACTAGTCCATCTTCTTCCCCTCATCTTTCAAAAAAAAAAAAAAGAAAATAATAACCCTCCCTCCTCCTCTACTTCACAACCTTTCCCTTCTCTCTCTCTCTCTCTCTCTCTCTCTCTCTCTCTCTCTCTCTCTCTCTCTCTCTCTCTCTCTCTCTCTCTCTCTCTCTCTCTTCCACGTCCCTCACCCTCCTCCCCCCCTTCACCCATCACATCCTGACCCCCCTCCCAGCGCCCCAACACCAAGGGGATGGCACACCTGAAGAAGGATGATATAGAGTTTGCCAAATTACTTTCAAGATGGGATTCCAGCCATCTGCTTGCTATGTGTCAGAGAGAGAGAGAGAGAGAGAGAGAGAGAGAGAGAGAGAGAGAGAGAGAGAGAGAGAGAGAGAGAGAGAGAGAGAGAGAGAGAGAGAGAGAGAGAGAGAGAGAGAGAGAGAGAGAGAGAGAGAGAGAGAGAGAGAGAGAGAGAGAGAGAGAGAGAGAGAGAGAGAGTTATCAAGGGGAAAGCGCCAAGTCATTACGACTATATAGCACTTGGAAGGGGTCAGGATAAGGATTTGGGATGGGACGGGGGGAAAGGAATGGTGCCCTAACCACTTGTGGACGGTCGGGGGATTGAACGCCGACGTGCATGAATCGAGACCGTCGCTCTACCGTCCAGCCCAAGTGGTTGGGCAGAGAGAGAGAGAGAGAGAGAGAGAGAGAGAGAGTGTTAATGTATGTGTTGTGTGTGTAAACTCACCTAGTTGTGCTTGCTGGGTGTTGAGCTTTGGCTGTTTGGTCCCGCCTCTCAACTGTGTGTGTGTGTGTGTGTTAAGTGTGTGTGTGCGTGCGCGCGTGCATGTATCTTCATGTGCCCACATTGCACAATTTTCTCACAAACATCCACACACACACACACACACACACACCCACACCCACACCCACCCACACACACACACACACACACACACACACACACACACAAGACCTCCCACGAATGTCTGCACGCTCTCCACCAAGAGTGGAGATATATATATATCGATATATATATATATATATATATATATATATATATATATATATATATATATATATATATATATATATATATATATATATATGTAAACCTGATCACGGTACGGCCCCGTTCCTTGCCGGCACGGCACCTCCCATCTCCTGCTCGTCCCCGTTCCGTTCCCACCTCCCATTTCGTTCCGTTCTTCCCCATTCGT